AAATGCAGGAAAACCTTGGGATTCTAATACACTGAAGTTTTCACATTGATTTAACATGATTGAATTGTTGGAAGCTTACCTGAGGGAGTCGTTTGCACGTGCATACTTTCACCTACCCGCCTTAAGAGTCGTTATAACCATTACTTTAACCCGTTCCCGTATCTGACAATAGGTATTTTTTTCTAGATTCAACAATATAAACAATTACCTCTCCGTAGTGTCGAGGTACCGCGTTAACGTGATCATACTAAGCTCTCCCCACGCCAGACTGGCTTTGGTTTCCCCCAATGTCACCCGATTCCCTTCTTGTTATAGGGCTTCTTGCCAAAGGAGTATACTGGCGACCACAAGAGTCTCGTCTTCGGGTCTAACCCCCAACCTCCCCACCGCCGTGCACGCATGCGCAATGCGGCGCCCCAACCGTCGCACACCGATTCATCCGCCGAGTGCTATTTTCTGATGTTTCGAAGTGACCGATTTCGTGTAGCATAGAAAAAAATCTCTCAAAAAAACCTTTTTTCATAATTTATTCAGCACCCATTCATTCATTCATTCATTTATTTCATTACTTCACTCATTCTTCACACTCATTGATCATTAATCATCTCATTCAATCATCCATCGTCGAAAAATCTTCGAGTGTTCCATTTCATTCTTGTACCATTATTTGTTTCACTTATTTTTGTGTTTTTGTGCAAGTGTTTCAGTGACTCAGTGATTTTGACATTTTTCTCTTTTTTATTGTGAACATTTGTAAGACGTGGTGAGTAGGAAATTTATTACTGCATGTTTTATGCGATTTCCGTGGTTTATAGGTTAGTGCAATATTTTTTTTATACCGGCCGGTGTTTGGGGGATTTTCATGAAAATTTTACAGAAAATAAATGGTTTCGGAAAATATCGTAAAAAGATATTATTTAATACAAATTTTCTTGGCTACAAGAACGGTCTTTTGAGTTTTTCGTCTAAAATCAATGGGGTCGGAAATATTGATGTAATTGGACAAATCGGGTACTTGATTATTGTTGATTACAGAATTTGTGGGTTTTCGTAATTATCTCGGTCATTTTAGCGGAATGAAATTTCAAAAGGGGTAAAACTTATCAAAAAAGAATTTTCCGATACTAGGGGAAAACCGGGTAGAATGGGATGGCAAGGTAAAACAGCCGGAAAAACACATTTTCAACGCAATTCGGATAACTTTTTCTTTTTCTCCAACTGACCGAAAGAAATACGATTCAAGGTTAATTGATATCACGTCTATTGGTTTTTAAGGAACCCAGGTGAATAAATCATAAGACATCTCATCTGAGCAGTTGAACTATATTTTATTAGGATGTGTTTTCAGTTCAAGAGTAGTCGAGGAACTGAATAAAGAATTACGAAGTCACAAAGACCACAGAATCTATACCAGGGTTTCTTTGTTTCCAGACTTAATGATATGTTTATATTATTTAGTAAACATTCATATTGAGTTCATTGGAAGACCTCACAGACTGTCTCTACGGAAAGTGTGATTTCATAGTATATAAAACATAAGTGATATAGTGAACTATATCACAGTAACATTATAAAATTATTTTTGCTCATTTAAATAACGTCATAACTAAAGTAATTAAACAGGTCAAATAATAGGTCAGCAGTGTCCGAAAATTTTAAAAACCCATGAATCAAATAATCAATAAAACAGAAGTATGAGAGGTTGAATTAGAGATACAGAATGACCGTCATTTTTGTGATCGTGTCATATGACCGAAAAATGGCGGTCGTGTGACGCTCCAAAATTTCTAATCAAAAAAGATGGTCATAGATTTCTGGTGACCGTGATATTGATTGATGTTATTAAACCATCGATATAGGTGCAAAATGACCGTCATGAATATATTGTATTTTGTGAAGGTCATATAATTTTTACATTACTAGCTTGGTTTTTTTCTCCCATTATCAATTATTCAAATTGATCATGATGCTAGTTAACTAGAAAAAAATAGATGAACAAAAAGTCTGTTTCATTTATATAGATGCAAAATGACCGCCATAAAAAAATATTTTTTACCAGACCAGCGGTCATTGGGACCTCGTCACTTGACCGTCAATGATGGTCACATAACCGTTTTTTGATGGGTCACATGATGCCTTCGCATCTCTGGGTTGAATAGCCCACGGGTAAAATAACCGATCGGTCAGAAAGGACAAAAAGTCCTTGGGTTAAATAACCGATAGATTTGAAGAATTAGGAAGAGTTAAATAGCCTGTGAGGCAAATAATTGATAGGCAATTAGGATTAAACGAGCCATGAATCGAATAACTAATGAGTCAGAGGGGTGAAATGACCGTAGAGTGAAACGATCGATGGATCAGATAACGGACGAATCTGATGAATCGAATGGCCGATGGATCAGAGACAAAAAGGTTACACGATCGATTGGTCAGATCACCTATTTGTCGAACGGGAATCAGGTCAGATAGCAGTCGGGTCTGATCATTTTGCCGTCATTTTACTAATGGTTTTATTACTGATTTCCCATTTATTGGTATGAATTTTCGACTTCTTCTTGGTTGAAAGCCGAGGGGCTTTTGTTTGTCAAGTCTGATGCTTTTACGGCACAATGAAGAAGAGAAAAATCGAGATGACTCCGAAGAAGGTGCACCGGGCTTGGACTGGCAACACTGTGGATAAGAGGGGCCGTACATTTCGTGGGCAAACTCAGGCCATAATTAACTTCCTCTATCAATATTTTGATCCAGAGCGAATCAACAATGGGCCATTGTTGCCCGTAGCTCGAGTGAGGTAATGATAATACTTTTGTATTCCTTGTATCGAAAGTGAATTGGCTCTGATAATTAGATAACTTTTCCCAAATTATGAAATAAATAGTGAAAAATTAAACGCTGAAATCTGGAGATCACCTGCGTGCGTCTTATTCAGTCATAGAAAATGTTGGGTAAAAGGAACTTTGATATCCAACAGCAAAGGACTTTCACATTATTCCAAAAATATGTGTTTCTATTAATTTTCTACGAATATGAATTTCAGGAGCATTTGGGTGATTGACGGCGGAAAACCCCGGCAGGAGTGATTGGAGGATCGAGAACGTCATTCGTACCCAACGTATAGCTGCAAAAGCAACAAGGACTGATATTTTTTTCATAATCGCTTGCTTTTTCATTATGTTTTCGACATAGCCTCCTTCAGGGTTCATTTTTATTTTAACTCACAGTTTTGTGGTCACGGTGTTTTGTCGCATAGTCTACGTGGCATGGATGCTATTCAATTTTGCTTGAATGGATTTTTTTTCAATTTTTCTTATGGGTTTTTATATTTCTGGTACAGGAACGAGAGGAGGGCTAATTTTCCACCTTTTTCATTCACGAATGCACTCATCTAATCTCTTGTTTTATCTATTGCTGAGTTAATCCTATAATCCTACGAATGCTGTTATTTCTTTACATCCATTTTGAATTCAGTATCGAAGTGGACACCGTGAAATCAATGCGAGGTAGACTTTTCGATAAATATTTTGCAATGTCGTAGAAATTGCGGAATACCGACGGTTTTTTTGTAGGTCTCACTCTACTTTACAAAGAAGATTCCTATCAAATTTTTAGTATCCCTTCCGGATTCCACAATATTTTTGGAAAATGAACCTCGAACTGAAATTGTCTTGTTTGAATATTTTATTACTAAATTCATTCTTGAATGCTTGCATCTACAAAGGGGACTGTATCCTATGAGTTTTTCTATCTATCTGCATATAGTGTTGTAGAGAGAGAACTGCGGCCGCTTTAGGTGTTTCAAAAACCAAAGTGACGGAGTGTGTTCGCATTGGGGAATCTGGCGCCGAATTTTATACTCCAGGAAAAACCAGGCCAAAACCCCAGACTGTGCGAAACATCGATGCAGCCATCGCAGAGCAGATTCGATCTATCATTTACGAATTTGCGGAGAAGCGTAAGTAGTTATGCTTAATTTTGTTTAGTAATTGGAATGTTATGTAAGGCAATATTTGTTGCTCTTTAGGACCGCATCTGACTGCTCAAGTCCTGTTCAATACAGTAAGGTAAATATTTTATCATTGTATGATTCTCGATCATTGGTGTATTACGATGCGTATCAACTCATTTTCGTGTAGGGAACGCAATATTGGTTTCAATAGCTCGCTCACTACATTGAAGCGACTCCTTCATGACTTGGGTTTCAAGTACGAGCGGAGAGATGGTACACGAGTTCTTCGAGAACAACCATACCTTGTTGCGAAGAGAATTGCGTTCCTGAAAAAGATGAAGCGGTTGATAGATGAGGGCAAATCTATCGTTTATCAGGACGAAACTTGGACCTACCGACGGGGCACAGGAAAAACGAGAGAATGGCAAGATGACGATCTCCGTAGTTCTTCGATAAAATCAGGTGCTACGGGAGATAGATATATTATCTGTCATGCCGGCGGCAAGAACGGATTTGCTCCCAACGCCTCTTTTTTTCTTCATACGGTGGCCAAGCCCAAGGAATCAGATGAGATATCACGGAGATATGAAGGGAGAAATGTTCAAAAACTGGTTCACTGAACAACTGTTTCCCAATCTTGAAATGACATCTGCAATTGTCTTGGATAATGTCTCCTATCATTCAATTCGCGTACGTGCATTTATAAGTTATTAACCATAGCATTTGTTATATCGCCCGTAAACAAATTTTCAATGAACACCAATTCTCTCAGCAACGATAATTTTTTTTTAGATTGAACAACAGCCTACGACGAGCTGGAAGAAAGCCCAATTGCAGGCATGGCTTGATGACCACAAAGTAGCGTACGATTCAGATGCTACCAGGAAGGAATTACTTGTTCTGTGCCAAGTTCATGAAGAACCTATTCGATATGAACTGGACGAGTTTGTTGCGAGCAACACGGAGCATGAAATTGTCCGCTTACCACCATATCACTCTTTCTACAACCCCATTAAGCTGATTTGGTCGAAATCCAAACGATATTTCGATGCCCATGTTGGTCGCAACAACGTCTTCTCGCTTGCCCAGATTGACAGCATCTGGGCTGAGGCATCGGCGTCTGCCACTCCAGAAATTTGGAAAGCATGCTATAAACACAGAAAAACGAATTCTGGAGGATTACAGAAGGGAAGTGAGCGATGATACAGAGGATGGTTATCAGATTCATATAATCTGTGATGATGAGGATGAGGAGGAGAGTGTGGATCTGACCAACTTGGAGATATTAGAGTTGAAGATGGATGGCCTGTCCAGGAATCGCATTTCTGCACTCTAACTCCAATAGAGTCGAGAAAGCCAGCAAATGTGCGTAAATCGCTGATAGATCTGTTCGAGTCTCAAATGGATATTGATGACTCCATAGATACTGGACTGATTGGGCCTTCCGAAGACATTGAGCCTTCATCGAGTGTTGTCATGGTTGAAGAAACCACTGTGAGTAGTACTCACATAGAGATTGCATAACAATCATCGATATTTAATTCATTTCGTTGATGCTCATGACGATTATACTGGAATGAATTATTGAATCGCTATCATATTTCCCTAGCTGAATGTCAACAACGAACAAGAGAGAGTAACATTGATCCTCACACCCCCTTGTTCGTCCCCCGAGACTCCACTCTGTTCATTATCCGAGACTCCACCCTGTTCATTGCCTGAGACTCCACCGTCTTCATCACCTAAGGTTTCACCCTGTTCGTCCCTTGTTGAGGTGTGCATTATGAATTCAAACATCTTTTCCTTTTTAATATTCATTTTTCATTTTGTAATGCATTAATTCCTCTTCAGACGTGGTTGCAACATAGTGACGAGACAATTATTTCGAATGATGGTGAGGTGGTACGAGTAACAGACTTGAAAAGATTATTGCCGGGATCATGGTTGAACGATATTGTATCAAGAGAATAGGAAAGTCGGATGTTCATTAATTTTTAATTTAATGATGTGTGGTTATCAATACAGATTATAAACAAGTATCTGAGTCTCATCGCGAGAAGAAGCGAGGGCTCTGTACATGTTTTCAATACGTTCTTCTACCAGAATCTTCTGCGTTCATACAACCATGTTGCTCGATGGACGAATAATGTAATTTAGGCAATATACTATAAGAAAGTAAAATTGAGGGCTAGTTCTGAATAGTTTTCTCACATACATTTTTTCTATCTATTCTTGTTCCAGGTCGACATCTTTTCTAAGGATATGTTACTCATACCAATCCATTTGGGAGCTCATTGTTGTCCGTGTGTCGTCTGCCTCAAAGAGAAGTTGATCAAGCATTATGATAGCCTGGACAATCTTGCTCAAGCCTCCACGAATGTCAGTATTCAAGAACATGTTAATAATTATCAACAATCATTGACTTATTTGTCATATCATGAATTTGACGTTGAATTTTTATTTATTGTTTAACCAACAGCATGCGCTAATTATGGGGACAATCTTCTCGTATCTCGGGAATGAGCATCTGCAGAGGAAAGGCCAACCATTAGACCCTGCAGGATGGGCCACTGGACGGGTCAATGTATGTTTTGTTATAAGACAACTTGGTAAATGGGTCATTCATGATTTTAATTTCTTCGATCTCCACAGGATATTCCTCATCAAAACAACCCTTACGATTGCGGGGTATTTGTTTGTGTCTATGTGTGAACATTTGACGGCGCATGCCAGTTTCATATTCACCCCACACAATATGCCGCAAATAAGACGCAGGGTGATGGAGGAAATTGTTTCGTCCCAGTTGGCTTTTTCTCTGCCGATACCACCGCCTGGGGAACCTCAAAGTTCAGAACAATCCATCGCAGGACCTGAACCAACATTGGTATGTTTGATTATAGTTATTCACTAGAGCATGCGAGAAACGATATATTAATAATGCCAATGATCCAATTATTTTTAGATGAAAGACAAATATTCATTCTGGATAAGGAAGAACAAGGTGATTGAGGTTTCGACAAAATCGATCGCGTTCTCCTTCATGAATCTGCGAGGTTCCATCAAGGAGATAAATGTTTCCCCCCAGGAAGAGCAAATTGCCAATGCACTGTGAATTCCATTTGCAGTATTGCCGCATTGCTCCTATCCGATAGGAAGATCACTCGAGACCTTTTTGACAGTCTTGATAGAAGAAGACAAATATTACGTTGATAGTATATCACGTAAGGACCCCGGTTACACACATTTGTCTCCAGAGGATCTCCTCACGTAGTTCACTGTTTGTGATTATTCACTCACCATTGAACCACGGTCGAACACCTATGGGCTGTTCTCATCAGGAACTGCTGTGAAGGATATCACAGCAGCTATCAACTCGATGGCAGAACAGCAGGCATCGGCCTTGGAGGTTACAGGATTTTTGTATATTGCTGACTCCAAAACAGTTGCGTTCCTCATCTCCCCACTGGTCTTGGGATCATCACGACGCTCCTACTTCATGTTCAATCCCTACTCGGTTGATAATAACAATTGCTATCTCCTGAATAGTAGAAGCAGAGGCGTAGCTTAACTGTTTCGATGTTTGTCTGCAGAAGCACTCGCTCGACTTCTGGTGGTTGAGCGTCGTGGAGGTGATCGTGGAGCTCGGCAGATATATTCCATCAAGGTAAATGGAAATTTTTCCGGTTAATCCTTTTGCTATTATTGTTAATATCATTTTAGTTTATGTCTCGTAGATAACTGGATTCTCAAGGTGAGCAGTGAGCACTGACAGCGAGCACGGAACTGGCTCATCTTCACAACGGAAAGAGTAAAATCATTGGTGGAAAAGTTAAGTTGTGTTCGCCATTTAATCCCTAATCTTAGTAATTCCATGGTGAAAATTTTCTAATCAAGTTAATCATGTTTTGCATTGCTTTCAATCACGCAAAGTCTCAGACAAATGAGTAGGAAATTGAGCAAACTAAGTTCAGCCCTACGTTAAGTTTTCATTCCATCAATTATGGCCTTACTTTCCCTTATATTGTTGGAGTTGAAAGTTTATTAATGTTAGAATATTTTTGGATTCTTTCAGCCTCATTGACCCCCAGGCCGTTCTAATTTTACGCCATTGGATAAGGACTTCATACATGTAATTGCATATAGATATCATCGTCAGTTCTCACACAGACTATTTATTGTCATTAATTTGTATTTATAGAACTGATTTTATCGTTCTCTTATTGGAGTAATGTGTGTGTTTCATAATTAATTATAACTAATATAAATGTGACGAGTAATGGGGTAATATAGCGACTCCAACCAATTTTTCGAGGAAGCTGAATTATTTTGTTATCCAATATAATTAGAAATTGAAATCAGGAAAAAAATTGAGTCGGACTCAATTAGGTAAATAACTTGAAGGGGGTGACTGGTTCAAATTTTGGCCTTTGTGGGGTTCATACCAGTTGCGTCCCCCTCGCGAACCCTGGGTAATGCTAAGTGCTGGTGAAGCTTGATACTTTGAAAAATAAGTGCTTCACTACACGTTGAATTTATATGAACACCTCATAATTGAAATTTCATAAATTGCTTTTAGCAGGGAAAGCGCAGAAAGGGAAGTCCCGTACATCTACATGAGCATCCACGTTATTAAGTGTGATGGCTCAAAGGAGGTTAAATTCATTTATTGCAACTAGGTTCCGACAAAATATACGTCAAATTACTTCAAGTTCAATATAAAAAAGTTAATATTTACCTATCAGTATCCAGAATGAGTAGGAGGTGCTATTCTACCTAATTACCGTTGTTGGAATGTGAAATATAAAAATTTTTTTTATTAAAAGAGTTTTTTGTCCATTCTAAACAATTTTATGGCTCTGGATATTTTTACAACTTTCTAGAAGATTCCACAAATCCGTAGCGAAGTGGTCAATCGGATTAAGTCGACTTAGCTCCCAGTTGAGTTTTTGGGAAATATTTCGGAATCTAAGCTAGATAGCAAAATTTGAATGGAAAACTTTTTTGTAGATCTCGTTTTGCTCTACAAAAAAAGTCTGTTTGAAATGCAACTAAAATTCCAGAACATTCTGGTTGACTAGCTCGGCCTACTTCGAAAATCCCCGGGACCCTTCGGGTCATCAGTGATAAGTGACCGAAACACGCGCGAATCAGTTTAGGCTTAGCCTCTCACCGTACAAGTCTATCTCGAGCAAATCACCTGTAGAAGTCTTACATCGTACCTCACCGAGTACAGTAGCTTCTTGAACCTCACCTAGCTCACTAGTAACCAACTACATCACCAGTGTTGTAAGATCAACATTTCGTTCAGTACATCACCACAATAATTAGTTAAACTTCAACTAAATTCAGTGATTCAACAGTATTAATTTCAGACAATTATCGGTTAATCAAAAGACTATCAACAGTGATAATTTACCAAAGAGTGTATAAATTATTAACGACGTGGTTCGATCCCACGAATAAATAGTGATATTTTTATAATTAGTGCCATCATTAATTTTCCAGCATCTCCCCCCACATTTTTCTCCCACATCCACCCTAAACCTAATTCCTCACCAAACAAAGTCCTCATCAAAATCTTGCTATCTTGCTTAGGTTCTAAGATATCAAAAAACTAGGGCTGACCTGAATGAATTTAAATTGATTGAACATTTCACTGCTGACATTGTGTGGAGAATTTACCATTTTTCTCGGTGATTGTGGAAAGTTTAAACGATCTCTGCTGAAAATTTATAGGATTCTGCATGAATCTGTACTATTCTGTAACTTCATAGAACAATATGAAAATTCTAGAGAGATCGAACAATTTTTCCAAATGATTCCAGAAAAGTCTGTGTGAATCTAAGCCTTTTTTTTGCAACGTTCTAGAACAATGAACAAATTTCCTGAGAAATTTTTAATATTCAGAAGCATTTTACAGAGATTGAACAATTTTTCTAGACAATTCCCAAACATTCTGCATGATTCTGGACATAACGCAAACTTTTTAAAATGTTCTGTGATTTTTAGGAGAATGAGGAAACTCAATTATCATGGAGCATGATTATAGCTAATTATTTTGTAATAATTTTCCATGATTCAGCTATTAGTTTTTTTCTTTTTTAATTGAAAAAAAAAGAAATTAAAGAAGTGTAGTTCTCATGCATTTTGAGTATTCCGCCCGCGGAGGGATAGGCCATCATACACTGCGCATGCGTGCGCGGTAGTGGGGAGAGCTCGGGGTTAGACCCGAAAACCAGACTCATGTGGTCGCCAGTGTAACCTCAGCCGTATAGCCCCACTCTACCCAAATCCCCACTTACGCTCGTGCTCCCCACCACTCAAATCCAGGTTACTTCTTTGGCAAGATGCAAAATAAACGGTACGAATGGGAAGATGATGGGGGTAAATCCGGACATCATTCTTTCCTGGGGACAAATTTTGTTCCAAATCCGGACAATTTTTCACTTTTTTTTTTGGGAAGCAGGTGATTTTCTAGAAAACTACAGAATTTTCTAAGATATTTTTGAGGTGTAAGAAAATGAATCCGATGGAAAAATTCTCCGGCTGTAGAAAAATTTTCCGAATTTGGTCTTGTCATAATGTAATTAAGTACATGTAGATGAAAATGACTCAGTTCGCTGAAATGAGTGTTGAACTAACACCGTGTTTGCTTGCGAGCAAAAACGGTGGGAGACCGTCAATCGAAAGACGAAAGTTCTCCTTGTCGAGAAATCTTCTTTCTTATATATGTATAAGTAGGACAAAAAATAAAAAAAAATTATATCGAAATTGATAAGGCTGGATTCGCTTTCGATTTTTGGTGAAATGGTCCTTACAAAAGATAAGAAGATAAGATAAGAGCCGGTGTTCAGCTAAGCATCGGCGTTAACTCCACCTCCTTCCATTCCTGTATAATGACATGAAATGGGAAGATGGATTCAGCTGATAATGAGCTTTGCTCCACCAGGAGTTGGACGAGAATAGAGTTGGGCCAAGTTGAACGAAAAGGACGTTGGAAACGGTATAAATTTGATTTTTTCCCGTTCCCACTGTTGTTTTTCACCAGTTTGCGGAACTATTGCTCAAGCTCCTGGTGGAACAAGGGTCAATGTGACGACTCAATGACGTTAATGCAAGTTAATTGTAGAGTTTTTCATAGTCACATAAAAATAATCATTCATCATACCGCGTGAGATGATATTGTTATATACAAAATCTCTAAAATTTAAAATCTCTTCTATTAAATTTTATTTAATGTTCGCTAGACGTATCGAGTTGCCGCGTCTCTCGAACGTCCGCGCGCTGACCTCGAGCGTCAGCAACTTTCGGCGCGCGTGACGACTCCGAGCGTCAGCGGAGACTCCAAGGGCACGGTGACTAATCTATACTCGCCATATCATATTTAATTCACATTTACCTTACGAATAGTCTCGCGCGCATGAAATTAAAATGTCAGAATTTCCATACGTGAAGTATCACGCAGAATTTTATTTCTATCTCCGTTTCGCACGTGAGCGAAAAATTTGAAGTTGAAGCGCCCATCCCCAATGGGTGCATCGAAATGAAGAGCGCTCGAGACAATAGTCAGTCACGATTTTACCATCAAGGGAATAACATAAAATTTGGCTCCTGCACAATTATTCCTCCGCACCCAACAACGCCGTGTACGTTTCCCTTAGTCTTGGGCTTTAACCGTGCGGTAAACCGACTTGAGTGCGCGTCCGGAATAA